ATCTCCATCAGTGCCCAGCAGCCAGATTTCACCAGACCTGAGCTATTTACCTCTTATCTAATTCTGATGCTCCATTTCTCCTAGAATTGTGTATAGATTTTTCATCTTCCAGACACGCTTTCTATGTTCCTCAAACTCCAAGCAGCAGAAAATTTGTGTTCCCAATATGCTTGCAGCCTGGCTAATAGCAAAATTGTTTTTGAGTAGGTGAAAAATCCAAGTCAGGCCATTGCAGATTCTTGCAGTAAGATATACTACCAGAAATACATAATGAAAATTCATCTCATGTTGTGAAACATATTGAACTGCTAAAATCAACAAAAAGTTGGCAGGGAATGTTAGCTGAGGTTATCTTTAGATTGAATCTGCATGGACTTCTGACACCTATTCAGCAATGTCTATTGGCACAAAAGCAACATCTTATCAAAATGCTGAAAATGCTTAGTCAGTAACTAATTTATTCCCTCATAAATATCTTTGCTTACTGATTTCTTTTCTCTCTCCTTTTTGTTTAGTGTTTGAATGCTCAACTATTATCATCTAATAAGCAAAAGGTGATGCTCTTGGGTAGGAGATACAGCTTGTGACCTGGAGAAGAACTCATCTCTCTGTGTAAAAGGACAAAGGTTTTTATTTAAATAGTCTTTCAATACTTTTATACCTTCAGTATATTGTCAACTATTACTACTGTAATGTTCATGAATTTATTTTACACAAGTTTGACCTGTAGTTTTGCCTACTGGTGGGCAAACTAATGACTTTTAAGGAGCTATATACTTATGAATAGCATTTACATACATTAGAGTGTTATTCAAAAATTTCAGTGTGACAACAGTACATGTTTATGCTTCAGTTTTTGTTCTCTGTTTCTTCTGCAGCAATTATACAAGCAACACATACACATCTATGCTTGTATAGATAAATATTTGTATAAGGGCTGATGTCAAAACACATACACGGATATATATCAAAGTGTTGCAGAATAACCAAGATGTATATATGTATATATAGAAGGCGAATATATATTAGCAACCAGAGTAGTACCATACAAGATGACAGCTTTAAAACTCTCTCTTACATCTATTAATATGTTTATACAAAGCTAGGCAATCTGTTTCATGGAAAATAGTAGAAGTTGAAGCCTTGTGAGCCATTTCTTAGTATAGATTGTAGTACATGACTGCCCAAAGCATATGTCTTCTCGGGCAAGCTTATAACCTTACATTAAGTTTGGAAGCTAAGACTAGTGCAAGAAACAAGTCAAAACTAAAAAGGATAATACAGGTGGTACACACAAATGAATGACACATTCCACACATACCAGGGATCTAAACAAATTCTGGTATGTGGGAACACAAATCCACATAAAGACACACACACGGAATTAGCACACATAAAAATGAAACTATGTGGACTTACCCTTACAAACAGTACCATAACCTCAGCTGAAAACTGATGACTTTTTCCAGAGCACAGATTTATCACCTACTTAGTGATTTGCACTCTGCTTTATTAATTGTAATTCAGCACCTTCATAAAATGCAATCGTATGTTCTCTTCAGATCTCTAAGCTGTCTTACCTTCGGATTTTATTTCTGCAAGAGCTTGTTTCATATATTCTTTAAAGTTTAATGCTCTCACCCTCCCTACTCAGACCTTGAACTACTTCAAGACAAAACAACACAAAACTAAATTCTAAGCAAAAGATAGTACAATTCAAGTACACAAAATATTTCAAAAAATAAAAAGACAACAAAAGAGATATATCTTTTCTGTCTATAAAATCCCAGCAGAAAACCTAAGTTAAGGCTTTAGCAGAGCAGCAAAAATGTGTAAGCTTCAGTCTGAAGCTGTGAACATGCAGATACATTTCCAAGGATGAAAGCAGGGCTTTAAATTCTGAGCTCCTCGGACATGCTGCAAAAAAAGAGTCAGAAAATTCTCTTTAAATGTCGTTTCTGCTAATCACCAGAAAAAAAAGGGTGCTCCGAAGGTTAAAAAGGAAAACATTCTTTTTCCATAAGTGCTAAGCTTGTCATAGAGGAAATCCACTCCAGAAAAGGTTTAACAGCAGTCAAGAGCATGCCTTTTATTGTAATTATAATATTAGATTTCACCTAAAAAAGTAATAATGATAGAGAATGAGAGATGAAAGGTTTTAGATCTCATCATATGCCACGTGAGTTTTGTAACATTCCCATGTTACAGAATTAGAGCAATACAAACCCTTCTGGTGCAATAGGATTGAAATTAACAAAGACAAGTCTTTAAAGTAAGTGAACAGCTTTATGTGACACTTCCTTTCCTAGCCTAGCCAGCTTTACTGCAAGCAGGTATTGTACATAAACCTTCTCCCTCAAATAGGTTTTGTTGCAGTCAGTAGCCAGGAGCACTAAAGCACTAAAGGAAAGTGGAAGAGGAAATGAAGGAGAATACCACACTCAGAGGAATTTTTATCAAATTCCACTCTATATTCCTTGTCCCTAAAGAACCCAGTGTTATTTCCAGACCTAATCTCATCAGAAGGGACCTTGGCCAAAGAGCCCCTCAACACAAGCTTATTTAGACCCTGGCCCTCTGAGCACTGAGAAGGCCACTCTCTGCTTCTGTGCAGAGGGGATTGCCTTTAATGGTATTTGGCTCATGTATTTTCCAACACAGGAATAAAGCCTGAGGCTTTTTCTCCCATTAATATCTTATCTTGTGTCGTCTCTGGGGCAATAAGTTTTTAAAAAACAAAGACAAAAGGCTTCTCTGTGTAAAATAATCCCTAGCCAGAATGAGTTTAGTGAGTAGCATATGCGTTATTATTTCATTATAATGCTTCTCTCTCCACCTCTCTAGTCCATCATGGTCAGGTTCCTTGTAACTGTTCTTATTTTAATATGTTCTTGTTCTTCTCCATTTTCCTCTTTACTTGAATTGATTTTTCCTCCTTCCTGTTTCCTTCCCTAACACAGCAAGGACACACTGGCATTTTGCTTCGTATGAAACTTCCAAAGGTACCCTATTTGAAAAGGTTCCTCTTTAGTAGGAAGAGGGAAGGCAACTTTCCTTATTATGGCTTCCATTAATTGTGCTTCAGCAGGTCACAGGAAAGCTCAAGAGGAGTGCACAAAGTTGACTCTATAAATCATTAGTAATGGAGATGAAATTTTCTTCTGGAGTCTCCTAGAGGGAAGTGATTACAGTGGTAAAATATCATCTTTGCAAGAAAAATTGTGTAATAATAACTTTGTGGGTTTTTATATTACTGCTGCAACTTAGAGAAGAGCACTTGGGTGCATCAAGAGCTTTAATAATGTATGTGTAGGTGGCAAATTACCCATAAAGAATCTACTGAATTGTGGATAATGTTCATTTTATATTCTCAAAGATAACCTAAGCCTTTGTACAGATGTCATCTCATGCCCCATGCTCATGACGTCTCAGAGGGATATTGAAAGTACAGTGTGTTGGCCACTTCCCTGAGCCACTTTTTCCTGTAAGCAGTATGAATTCCTATAGAGGCAGGGGATGAAGCACATTTATTAGAGGCATATTGACACAAAATAAACTGAATTTCATGTCAAGGGCCTCTATCAGTCTACTGTACAATATTTCTGTGCTCTACATTAGAGTGAACTTCTTACTGCAATCACTTTGGTGTCTCATTAATCAGAAACGCAAATAGGAAATACATAAATGAGAGGAAGGCCTGTGATCCAATCTCTTTACCTGCAAATATTTTGTACAAAGTAATGCAATATCCATTCATGCAGCAGCTGGATTGCTGCACTTTCTGCTTCATCCACTGGATGTCCAAAGTGGACTCTCTCTTGCTCTCTCTGTCATTAGGAGCATTTGATTGTTCCACGTTAATTAGGAGACCTCTAACAGAAAGGGTTAAGTATCACAGAAGAGATAAAAGCATTCATGCTCAGTCCAGTGCAGTTATTTATCTAGCAGGACATATTAAAAGTAAACAATGCAATGGGATGTCAGAGCTTTTGCTTTTAACTGACAGCTGGGTAGTGACTTGTATTAATAGAAAATAAACAGCCATGAGCTCACATGAAAGGAAAACATCCCTCCACCCCTCTCAAATATCCTCAAGCATCAGATAGGACTGTATTTACTCCGTCATTGATTTGAGGCCGAGATTCTTATGTAATCACCTGACAGAAATATTTTGTTCTATCTGAAGTGATTTTGGAAAAGACACAATGTCCCAATGTGGCAAGACCGTAAGTTTATCAGTCCTTTACATAAGTTTCAGATATGAACACACCTTGAACTTCTGTATTCTCCCTTTCCTTGAATCTTGCCACCTCAGATAGTCCCTTACCTCTTTCTGCTGGAGCTCCTGTTTGCTACAGCTGGTTGTTTGAACCAGACCTTCCCTAGCCTATGTGGCTCATCTCAGTGCTTTCTCTTTTCTCAAGCAAAACCAGAGCTGCCAATGACCAGCTCCATGACAGTTCATCAGGCTCCAAACCAACTGTTGCTTCTAAACGAGGCAGCAGTGTCCTCTAAGCCACTTTCCCTTTTGTCACTGTGTAAGTGGAAAGGCAGTATCAACTCCATCAGTCATTACAGATGCAGATGGAGCCAAAGAGTCAGTTCAACGTTGGAACCAATCTAATCACAGCTGTGCTGGGTAGGCAGGTCTGCCAGGGAATCTTGGGCTTAAAACTGTGTAGTAAGCAGAAGCAGAAGCAGAGCATTTTTTTCTCAGGGCAGAAGGATATTTAAAAAATTAAAACCCCATTTGGTTATTTTTAAGTGGCAGAACTAAAAACTTTTCAACAGATTACTCTCTTTTGGATCCTTCATAGTACAAAAAGCTTCTACTAAAGACAACTGGAAAAAAAAAAAAGAAAAAAATTACTCATATGCTAGCTATTTTGCTAAGGATTATCATTCTGAAAGATTTATACATGGAGAAACAATAGACAAATTCATACTTCTGGATACTCATACAACTTTCTGGGAGCATATTAAGACATTTATTTGGCTTTTTCCATTTATGTCTTTATGGTGTGTGGCAGGAAACCCTGGGCTATATTAGTTTGATCCCTCAGCACAATGCCCTTGAAAGCACTAGGTGATTGTTATGAAAGGTACTCTCAGTAGTTCAAAATCCTTGTTTGCACCATGCACAACAAATCCAACATATTAAGTGAGTTACTAAATATAATGAACTTAAGAGACTTGCCAAGCTCTTTGTACTCTGTGTTTGGCAGGCAGGTTTCATCCTTGTCTCCTGCTAGGGACCTTCGTGTGTTTATTGATCTTAGTTTGTCACCCTGAGATCAAATTACAGCTACGTGGAACTGTACCTTCAGGCCACTTGGAAATTATAGCTGAGGCAACACAGCAGGGCACAGTCTCTCATCTGTGCTTTCCACCAAGAACTCATGAGCTCCAGGGTCCTGGCCACAAGCTGGACAACTCCCAAGTGATGTGCAAGCTGTTCTTCAAGTGAGAGGCTCCAAGATTCTTCCTTTCCATATGTGCCTCTGTCCTAATCACACATGATGGTCACCCCAGCAGCAGCTTCTTTCTCTGAAGGGTTCTGGGACTGGCCATCAGGCAGGGCTGAGCAGTTTGCACTGTACACCTCCTTGCTGATACACTGATAACTGGATCTAGAGCAGAGGTCTGTGAAAGTTGTTTGCTGTCCTCGGACACAGGCTGCTGGGAGCAAAATCAAATTAGAAAAAGAAGGGATTTTTCTTCAGTCAATGTCTTTATTTTATGATAGGTAAAATTTTAAATGCAAGGTTTAAGATGGAACTGACTCAGCTGCAGAAGGAAGAAAAGTAGCCCCTCAAGCATACCTGATCCCTTGAGGACAATGCCTGAAATATCACTCATGACAAGAATTTCTGGACCTCCCTATAAAAACTCAATATATCTGATTTCAAAACAAATAGAAGGAAATATTCTTGCCCAAAGCATACAACTACACTTGCACAGCTCAATGACACACACTGTCTGCAAGATGTTTTAAGCTGAAAAGACTACAAGCAACAGCTGCGCCGGCAGGTATCTGTGGCCTAGAGGAGTAGCTAGACACAAATAGGAGCTTGTGTATGTATAAAGTCCTGAGGAGTATTTAGAAATATAATAATCTATACCAACAAAGGTATTGGAAGAAAAAATATCTCTTGTTCAGTACTTCCTTGTGCAGGAGATGTGGTCAGAGTCCTCAAAGGTCTTAATGCAACAACTGCCTTGCACTCTGCTTTCTGCAGTTACTTTGAGGTTTTTTTCACATATCGCTTCTAGCTGCAGGTTCTAGCAGCCTGAAAACACCTCTGAAAACCTTTCTGAGTGCACCTCTGTCTTTCTGTCACTGTATCCCCACCAGAGGTGACTTTCCATCCCATTTGGAAGACTCAGCTTTGGTCAGCAGGAGCCTCGCTGGCCAGCCGAAGCAGCGTGCACTTCTGGATGGGGACAGGATGAGGCAGAGGCCACTTCCCCCACTCATCACTTGAGGAAAATCTGCTAAAATGGTGACTAATCAGAAAGGGAAGAGCATCTGCATGTATTTTTGAGCAAGGCTTTAATAATCTATTCTGTACTATTCGGGTTTTGCTTGCATAAGCAAATTCGCAACATCAGGGCTAAGTACTCACATAAACTGAAAATACAAACTAATGTATATATTGTTTCACTGCATCATTGCACAGCCTAAATTTCTATTTCTGTTGATCTTTGAACAGAAGACAAAGAACAAGAACGGATTATTGGTCTGTTTCAAAAAGAAATTAGGACCTCTGTTAGTTTTTTGTAAAGATTTATCAAAAAAGCTTAGAATAGTGTAAAGATAAATACATGTTTATATAAAAAATTTCATCAGCTTTTGACTGTTATTTTTAAGAAGTTTCATAATTCAGAAAATTCACGTCTTATGAAGTCATTGAGAATTTCTCAAAATGGAAATGTAGAAGAAAAATCTCACATTTGATTTTTTGTCCTAAATGAGACCTTTTTTCTTGAGTTAAAAAAATCTGCTTTTGAGTTAAAAAAATCCACTTGAGAAAAGTGGAAAAGCTTTGGGTTTTTTAATTGTTTCCATTTCATTTCCAGCTTTTGTTACACCTTTAGTTGGACTGTTTTTAATAGCTGTTTATAGTAATCACTTTTAAAATCCTGCCTTGGGATGCAAATGTTCTTTTCTATTCTCCACATGGTCAAATTCCTTTTGTATCCTAAACTTTATGGGAGTAGTCTTATGACTAAATAGGTTTATAAAAAGAGCAGGCACCTGGCTGTATATAATCAGGGGCTGTGTGAATGGTGTTGATGATATAAACTGAGAGGGGAAGTGATAATGTGCATTAGAGCATTATATTCCCTACCAATTGGCTGTGTTTTATTTCACCTGCAAACAGGTAACCATGGCAGGAGATACATCTTGCCCATGTCCTGAGCTGAGCACCTTGCCAGACTTGGCTTGTTAAGTGTACAGAACCCCTGCACTGGTTTTGCTGCTCACAGGCTCAAGAGTGATTTGCCATCTCTCAAAGGAGATCTTACTCAAAACCCAAGGCCCCATCCTGGCCTTCTTGTCGTGCAAAGAGATGAAGGAAAGGCACGGGCACTTGAGAAAAGTTGCCTGCATCCCCATTCTTGGAGCTGAGATCATTGAGAAAAATCAAACCCAGCACCTCTGGCAGGCTCTGAACCACAGGGTGCCAGTGAGACTTCTGTTCTGCACCATGGGGTGGACTGCATGGGCCTATTTATCACCTGATAAATGGAGGTGAATATATGAGGTTAGATGTATGAAGAACCAACTTGAGCCTTCATCGCAAGGTCGAGCCAAACCTGTTGGGAAATATTTTCCATGTTCAAAATACGTCACTATGAAAATAATAATAATAATAATCTCATGCTGGGCAGTTTCCTCTCTCTCAGTGTTTTCTGATTCTGAGACAAAATGACAAATTGCTTTTGGGTTTCTTTTGTTGCATTTTAAAGAACAGTAAAGCAAAAAAAATGCAGATTGCACAAGAACCTGAGCTCCCATGAGAGATTATTTTTATTCAGTTTTTCAGGTCAGTGTGTTCCTTGTGGTTTAGTGACATTTCACTAAAAAACCAGACTCTTGACTGACATATATTTTAAATGAAACTGCAAATCCAGCCATCACTGATGAGAACTGTGATGTTGGTTGTTCTTGTTCCATCCAGATCACTGATGTGAATGACATCACTGGGTACCTAAAAGACCTGACATCAACCAAAAATTGCATTCTACCTTCCACTGTAAAAATACATCATCATTATTTCTGTGGTCTCTAAAAAGAAATTGATTTTTTGTGCCTCCTGTGGATGCTGCAATTCTATTTTAGTGTAATGCTTTTATGTCTATAGCAGCCAATTGCTTTGACCCTGAAGTCCTTCTTGCAGCATTGCTGATTTGCTGAATCACAGAGTTCATTCACATCCTCTTGTCAGAGAATAATGTGCTGACTGCAAGGTTTGCTACAGCAGCGATATAAAAAATGAGATAACACAAAAGTAAATATAAAATAAAGTAAAAGAAAAGAATGCAAAATACATGAAATAATAATAAAAGACCTATCAAGTTCAAGCAAATGTAATGGCAGCATGACTTTATACATCATAAATGACATGCTTGGTATATGGGGTCCTACAACAGAAGAAGAGGGCTTTTCCCTGATGCAATTTAACATTGAAGGCACCTCTCCACCATGCCAGGTGATTTGCTGTGCCAAGGATTTACCTGACCTCTGAACAGGTGTACCTGTACACTCATTCCTGCCTCGTGTCTCAGTGGGTGAGACTTCTGTACTGGGAATTCAAGGGATTTACAAGCACTTAGCTTTCTTCCATGGCACCTCTGTCCCCTGAGGGAGTCATCCTGACCTGCTTGCTTAGAGCACATTTAATACAGCACAAATCTGACCGGCTGCTAACCTCCACCCAGATGGAGATTAATCCTCTTGTAATTGTTTCTTTCCTCAGGTCAACTCCTTTAAGAAAGGAACTTAAAAGAGGAAGGCTCTGCCATACCTGTTGAAAACAGTGTGATGTGCAGGTGCAGTGGCCTTCTGCCCACAGCTGCTTCTTAGAGATGCATGGAGTGAGCTCTCCCTGCCTAGTGGGATGCAGCCCCTTCCAGACCAATCTTCTGCCATAGTGTCAGCAGAATGTCCTTCTTCACCACGCACTGGTCAGGGTGTGAGGGAGCAAGGTGGACGGGCAGCCAGGGAAAGAAGCTGGGTACACTGAGATGAAACCTGACTTCTGTACCTCCAAATTCCTAGCCTGTCAACCTTTCTGCATATTTTTCTGAGTTACTTGACCTTCTCCATGCAGGGCAGGGAGAGTCTGTATACCTAAAGTAGGTTTTTGAACCTGACTAAAGGCACAAGCTTTGTGACCCCAAAACCCTGTTGAGGATCTAGGCAACAGTTTCAGCACATTTCCCCGATAATCACAGCTATAAATGAGCTCTTGTGCAAGGCGGTGAACCACACTACCTAGCTTTCCATTGGCAGAAGTATGAAGTGCAAAATTCATCATAGACAGACAAGTGCTTGAGTGTGTTTGGATGCCTCCTGACCCCAGCAATGATTTCAGAATTTCCTTAAACTCTTGTACTGACCAGATCTCCAGACCATGATGGAAGTCTCATTGCTTTTTATTTCTTCCTGCCATTTCTTCCAGAAATAGGAGGAAGAAGCAGTGTTTGCATATGGTACTGCACTGAATACAACCTGAAAGTAGAGAAGCATGAAACTCGGAGAAATAAAGAGGAGAGAGAAATTTTTTTCCAACCACAACTGAAACAGAGGCTTATTTGGTTTCCAAAGGATTCTGGGCTTCAGAACTCAAATAAATCTTTATAGCCATATTATACAGCTGGAAGAAAAGACACTGCTAGGTAATAATGGATAACTTACAGACCTGTATGTGCAACTTGAATTCCTCTTTTAAGAGACATTACTGAAAGATCAAGGACTCTCTCTGTATACCAGCCACAAGTCTTATATCCTATGATAAGTAACTGAACTAAGTTCAGTTTTCAGCCTTATTTTCTTCTCCTGGGTGGGCTCTTCCAAGATGCTCTGCCTCTCCATGGCAAAGCCTGCAGTGACACATTTTACCCAGCAGCCCTTCATTGCTATGGTGACCTGGCTGCATTGGGGCATGCATTGGGGCATGCACTGGGGCACAGACCCCATCTCACACCCATCAGGCACAGTAGGCTAGTGGGGGAGACCACCCCACTGCATTCCTCTGCAGCTTAACAAGGGAGATGGTTAAGGAGTCATAGCTTACTCACAGAAGGTATTGGGAGGGGTGAGGAAGGAGAAGTGGTGCAGTCTTCTCCCACCCATGGGCTGCTCAGTTTTCCATAATGTAGTTATCACGCTGTAACCTTGTACAAAACAGAGGTGCACACTATAGAGCAGGGCTTTGGTACACAGCCGATAACTTGGGGTTATTAATGAGACCATTCAAGTCAGATTCTTGCTAAAAGCAGCACTTTTACCTCACCAGATCTTAACCAGGACTCAAAGCCATTAAGTGCCATCCAACTCCTACTATGCCTGGAGTCAGTTAATGCCTTATATGCTCACAAGCTGTGTGACATGGTTTGCATTGCTGCTGCTTTTGAAACTGGTGGGTTGGAACAAAAGTCTGCTGTGCCTCAGTGCTCAGCAATCAGAATAGTTCGTAAAACCTCCCCCCACAAAAACACTTAAAAAAAAAAATTCTTTCTTTTTTCTTTTTGTTGCAGTAGTTTTTAATGGAGATTAAAGACTGAGCTTAAGCGGTCTGGCACTAGACTGCACTCAAGAATGTAGCATAAAACAGAACTGAATTTGTGATGTTGCTCCATCTCAGCTTCTGATGTAAAACAAATACACCGCATTTATCTTCAGAGCAATTCTTGAAAGCCTTACATGGCTCTTTTTCAAGTTCTGCTCCTGTTGGCTTCCATGAGCTTTAGGATTTTGGCTTTCACTTACATATATCATGTGTTCCGAGATAAAACAGAGATTTCTAGACAGTCGTGTTCAATATCCTCAAGAAGGAGAAGACTATTTTTCTTTTTGGAAGAGTAAGAAAGAGAGGGAAAGGTGGAAGGGAGGACAACACGTTAATCTAGGATTTACTGTCACTACAAGTAAGCTGTGTTATTCAGACACAGGATTCCCTTAGTCTGTTAATTCACTGGAAATAAATCGTTAACTAACCCCTCTCTTGGTGTGACGGTCACACTGGGCAATCCTCTTCTCTGCACACACATGGGAGCAATGACCCTGAGCTGCAATGAAAGCCACCCTGACGTTTGGAGGTATAACTGGGTATAAATTACTCACTAATCCTCTAATACTTCCGCTCACAATGAGGCTCAAGTCTAAATGACAATGACATGATCCTTTTTCAAAATGAAATGGATGAGTCCTTGTCTGCTCCCCACTGCTTTTGTTGCTGTTCTTGTATTCTGAATAAGATAGTGACTGTGGAGAAGCAAAGCAAGGAACAGAAACCCTTTAATTTGCTCCAGATGTGTCTGATGAGACTCTATCTCTCATCACATGATCTTGCATCTGTAATAACCGTTGTCAGTGTATTGATCAGCTGAGGCAGCTGGAGTAAAGTCAGGCTTCTGCCGCACATGGAAAATCTGACAAGTTTGCAGAGGAGCTGGGCTGGTCTCTGCAGGGCATAGTCAGAGCTGAGTTATGTCCTATGGAAATACAGCATTGTTTCCCCATCTCATGCAGGGGGTGCATGGCTAACATCCACTCACTGGGGGAGAGGGAGAATGAGAACATGCTCTAGGACTTGGTAATTTGGCTGTGTTGCTGAGGAAAATAAAACAGATGAGGCAATTGCACAGCTCCTGTGAATGACGATGATGAAAGAGTCCTTGTCTGCCTGCATTGCCTGACCATGGTCCTACATAAACAGCAGAATAAGCATGCTGGGAAAAGAGATCCTGATCATCTAATAAAGATGACCATACAGATGAAATCAAACAGACCCAGGCTGGGATTTAACCATGTTACCAAAGCAACCTGCAGCCTGTAAATATCTAAAAACAAATTTATGTAGGTTCCTGCTGACTCCTGCCAATGTGAAGCCTGGCAGAAAACCCCAGGGGAGGAGAGCCTGCCTGGAAGAGCCCAGAAGGGTGGTATGCACCATCTTCCCTGGCAGCATCCGGCAGCGGAGGGCTCCTCCAGGACTGCCAGGAGATGCACTGATTCAAGGTCACCCCTCAGCCCTTTCCTGCCCACCAGTGGGACTGCCATCCGGGAGAAATGTCAACAAAGACCTAACAGCACCATGGTACTACTTCTGTGAACAGTGACTATGTCTTGAGTACATGAAGGCGAGATTAACTCCAACTCTCTACCCTGCTATTACTGCATGTGACACCAGACCTGTGGCATACTGTAGCAATGTATTAAGACTCTCTAAGTATTGCACTGAGTGACTCAGACATAGCTAGTGTATTTTCAGTTCTTCTCAGAAGAGTGCCTTGTTCCTTTGGAGATTCCCCTGCTGCCACTTTTAGTTTATGATGTAGGATTCAAGGGCAATCTGTCATCAGATCATGAAGACAATCTCCTTACGCTTTATAGGTAAAGAGAGATTGAGGGTTTTCTTCTTAAATATAATTATTTTTATTACTGTAAAATTAACATGTTCCTGTTTGTCAGACTTTTGATAGGAGTTCTAGAGTATACTTATTAAAAAGTCACACTACCACCACTCATATGACATTGCCTTGATGAATGCTACTACTTGGCCAAGTCAGTATGACTTTATAGCTCTTGTGACTCAAAGTTTCTTCAGAAACTCTACCCACTAGTTGTGTCAGCACTGCCTGAAAGATCTGAAACGCTTAGATTTAAACCAAAGCTCACATGTCAGCTCAGATCCTACTGGAGATTACTGTTTAGTTCATGTTGTTAAAGCAGAACTAGAAATATCTGACTTATTCTGAAGTATTCATTTCCAACAGCGATGAAGAAACATAAAATAATGAAAGTGATAAAGAATAATGCGTTTCCCTTGAAATCTATATTTATACAGCACTTTTTTCATAAAGACTAATCCATGACTCCAGAATGATTTAATAAGCAAGAAATGCTCTTCCCACAACCTTGGTATAGTCACCTGCGCAGGAGAAGGAAGTAGAGCTTTTAACAGCATGACAGAGTACTGTGAGTTTAAATGTAAACTACAATGTCTCCGAAAACATGGGAGAATGCAGACGAAAGGAAACTAATAACTCTAAATAGAATTTGGTCAGGAAATTAGGCTGACTCACTCTCCTACTATTTATACTGTCTTCTAACTTTTCCTACAAAAGATTAAAATCTAGTGGCTTACAAGATATTGTCTGGTTTTAATTGTCATGATATGCCCTTATCAAGCAAGGAAGCTGGCATTTGAAAGGACTGTGCAGCACAAGGCAATATAAAATGCAGAAAATTTTCCTGAAGTATCTGTTTCTGTTGTGTCTGTGCCTATCGACTCAGGATCAGTGCTGCTGCCACTTGATGCAGTGGCAAAACCAAATCTGATGACAACATTGCAATGTTGGGCCCTGAGGTTTCTCTTCCCCTATCATTCTGCTGTTGGGATGAGCATCTGCTTGAATGCTTCTGTACACGGATGTGCACAAACTACAGATGACAATGGCAAACACCAAGGTGATTGTGTCACAAATCTTTCAAAAACTATGAATGACCTGGAGATTTAGCTTACACAGTCTTCAAAGCTGTTTCCAATACAGCACACTCTTTCCATATGCCTGTGTACATTGGCTTAAATCTTCCAAGCACTGTCATTGCAAGGTGATATTTATGAAAATAGCTGGATTGATAATATGGCGTTTTGGTCTGTATTGATAGAGTCCATAGCAGTGATGTAAACAGCAACCTGAAAACACATTATCTTGGTGCCTGTATCTGAATGGATGAAGTGATCCAATTCGTTTGTTTGGAGCAGCTTAGTCACTGAGCTGTGAAGCTCTGGCTCCAGCTTCTGATACATTTCAGATGTTTTAACTGCAAATCTTTTTAATGTACCAGCCCATATGCAATTCAATTCACTTTGCAATATATTAATCTTTAAATTAAAACAATTGTGTATAACTAGAAGAAATTGCTATATCTTTATGATGGATAACAGTGAACAAATGAAGAAATCATAAACAGTTTATACAGTGTTTTCCAAAAATTATTAACAGAATAATTAAACTTCATCATCTGGATGTGTATTCTAGAAAGTAATGCTGTTGCTAGATTGTTCATTTAATATAAAAGACTTTGTAGACAAAGACACTAAAACCATATAAGGCAGGAAGACTGTTAATCTTAGATTTAGGAGCCCAGTCAGATTACCAGAAAGGAAATTGCTCATCCTTGCTTGTGAGGCTCTAGAAATAGCCCAGACCTGATGTAAGTAGTGCTTAAAAATAAAGCTGTTTGCATTGATAGCCAACAAATCAAGTTGTCGCTAAGAAAGTGAGAACCCCTCTGAGGCATTCCCCACAGTCTGTACCTGGTATGACAGAGGGACTCCCTATACAAAGATTGAAAAGGACACTACGTGGTCCAGCTTGGCTACTGAGGAGCAGCAATGTTAGAATCAGAAACAGATAAATAAAAGTTGTATCAGTGATAGAAGACTATTTCTGTGCAGCACTTTTTTGGGGGGTGGCAAGATTATACTGGAATAGATCAGTTTCTTGCACACTTGCTGCAGAGAGGCTGTTTACTGTCACACACTGCTCTCCCAGTGCATCTTCCCCATCACCAGAAAAGAAGTCAGCTATTCACGTCATGTCCTTTCATACCATTTTTAATCTATTATTTAGTTAAGCAAAATATTTAATTAGAGATTTCAATATAAAAGCAATTAACAAGCTTCCTATGTATAAGCCATAATTATGATGTAGCTTAGTAACAGGAGAATGACTAATGAAAAACATTCTGTTGAAATTCTGTTTAAAGACTTTTGTGATATGTTTTAACTGCTGATTTGGTTTTGATTACCCAGGCTTGCTTAAAAACAAACAAAATCTTCCCAATTCTCTTATTTTGGGTTGCAATTCTTCTTGCTTTGCAAACGCCATCATGTCACTTTGAAGCACAGTGATATAAGAACAAAAGAGCATGTGGCAATGGCATCACATGCCTACACCATAACATTGCAAAAGAAAGTTTTTGTGAGCAAGAAAATAGTTTCCAAAATATTAAAGTACAATTGAAGGTTCCAGGATGTGGGCTCACCTTCATAAAATCAGGCTGATCCTTTATGAAAGCAGAGGCTTCAGCCAAAGCACTTATTTGTAAGAACAGAACCGGATAAACAGGAAACACTCTCTCTGTCATCTAAATAATAAGC